GTCATGTTCAGCTCCTTGTGACCCCATGGACTGCAGTGTATCAGGCTCCCCAGGCCTCACTGTCTCCCAGAATTTGCTCAAATTCATGTTCATTGAGTCAGTGATGCTATCCAACCATCTCATCCTCTGCTGCCCTTCTCCTTACCGTCAATCTTTGCAGCATACAGGTCCTTTCCAGTGAGCTGGCTCTTCGCATCAGGTGGCCAAAGTATTGACAATTCAGTTTCAGCATCAGTCCTTCCAATGAATAGTCAGGGTTTCCCATTTTCCCACATCCTGAATAGTCAGGATTCCCATTTAGGACGGACTGGTTTGATCTCCTTGCAGTCCAAGGGAGTCTCAAGAGTCTTCTCCAGCACCACAATTTGAAGGCATCAATTCTTTGGCGCTTAGCCTTCTTTATGAACCAACTTTCACATACATACATGACTACTGAAAAAATCTTAGCTTTGACCATATGGACCTTAGTCAGCGAAGTGACATTTCTGCTTTTTAATACACTGCCTAGGTTTGTCATGGCTTTTCTTCCAAGGAGCAAGTGTTTTTAAATTTCATGGCTGCAGTCACCATCTGCAGTGATTTTGTGGCCCAAGAAAAGAAAATCTATCACTGTTCCCCACTTTTTTCCTTTTTATTTGCTATGAAGTGATGGGACTAGATGCCATGATCTTAGTTTTCTGAATGCTGAGTTTTAAGCCGGCTTTCTCACTCTTCATTCACCCTCATCAAGAGGCTGTTTAGTTCCTCTTATAGTTGCTTAATTTCTAACAAATACAGTAAGTTCAAGGAAAATCTTACTAGCTAGAATTATGGGCAAACAGTTGTTAGCTCTTTATTCCCCTGAGCTCATGCCTCCTCTTTTCTTGTGCCCTCCTTGGACTCAGCACACACTTACACTGCTGTATTCACCTAATGCCTTGAGAAGAACATGCTACATCTCTGAAGCCGTAAGTTAAGCACAGCAGCCGGCACAAGTACAGGCCCAAACGTTTGTTGAATATTGCATACGGAAACATGATGAGAACTTGTCATCATTGACTTTTGAATGTGAAGAAGGTTTTACCACCAATTTGGACAAAGGAGAATTAGAAGTTCAGCCCCAGTTTATATGGCAATTCCTTAATGTTCTTCCCAGAATAAGTAGACTTTAAATGCACATTCAAGTTCACTTCTTGGAACAAGCAAAATGACACTTTAAGTACGGCTGACCTTTGTACAACACAGAGGCTGGGGTGCTGACCCTCCACCCAGTTGAAACTGTGTGCGTAATTTACGGTCTGCCCTCTGTATAGTATTCCTCTTGTCATCCAATGTCTCACACCCACAGATTCAACCAAGCATGGATCATGTGGTATTTACTACTGAAGAAAATCTGCATATAAATGGACCCATGCAGTTCAAACCTGTGTAGTTCAAGGGTCAACTGTATATTACATATTCTAAAAAAGTCACAGGACCTAGTATAAAAACAAGATAAAAAATAATCATATTTGGTAAAGAAAAAACACAGATGTCAGATGTCAAAGATGCCAGCACAATACTAAGGGTAAAAAAGAAATAAGGTTATGGATAATTGGTATTAGAAGACAGAGATTAGTGCAAATATTTAAATACATAAAGTCAGTCCATAACATGGGGCAGATAAGATTTTGCAAAGGATAAACCTGATTACTAAACAGCGGAGTTGGTTTTATGATAAAAAGTTTAATCAGTAAGCATAATGATATAGGAAGGTCATTTTAAGGGAGAGATTTATATGGTTTTCCTCACTGGTACTTTGCATAAATATGGATTATAGTTAGAAAAACCTTTATTTCTGATTTGGTATTTAGCAGTGATTACATTTGATATTTAGCAGAGCTGGTTACACACCCCAAGGGTCATCAGCACACATCCTGCCTGGAAAATTCTTCAGCCTCCACTTTTCAAAATGCCCACTAATTTTCTGTTGAAAGTAAAGTGAAATTTTTTTGCAACTGTATGTGATATAAATTTCACTGTAAAAGAAGGAAACAAAATATTTGTAAGTAGTTCAGAGAAAGAGATACGGGTGAATAGAGGTCCACAGACCTAAGGATCTCTCTGGAGGACAAAAAAACATCATCTGTCCATTTACCCATGAGGTAAAAGGGATTAGGAGCCACTGAAACACTACTTCACACCCTTGTCTAGGAGCTGAAAGAACAAACTATATACATTCACATTGTAAACTGCATCATTCAAACTTAAAATCTATAACACCTACTCAATCTACTAAAAATCATTCACAAAGCACTATGTAGGCAAATATGTTTAAAAAAATATTTTAATAAGCATATTCAGAATGGCAGAGAGGGAACAGGGGAAGGGAATTATTTTACAGTGCAAAATTATTATGCATAAATTTAAAAACATTAATCCATAATTTTAAATGCCTATTTAAATATTATTTCAAATACATTTTAAAGCTCAACATATTTGTTTTGTTGAACTGAGTTGCAAATTTTGAACTCTATTTGAAAACACATCATAGAACAGAATACCATTCCAAATGAAGATAGTGCTTTGCTGGGGGTAGGTATGGGGTGAGGGAGACTAAGTAACTATTAACGAAGGCTTCTTTTCCCAATGCAGTTTGTCAAGAGTTATGAAATGTACTAAATCTTAAGCAAATTAAATTCATGATATTACTAAAATTTTTTAAAGTAGTGCAATGACTTATCAAGTTATAGTGGCTGCATTATAAAGAACAATGTACTGTGTCAAATACCTGTATAAACATAAAATACAATTAAATATTTCTCTATGAAAAGCTGAGCATTATGTATTATAATAGTGGAATGTTTTTCATTAGGCAGACTTTAAAAAGATTAAGAAAAGTAAAATTTCCTAACATGTATACAACATGTGCCGTATTTGCAAACATGCCTGAGAATTTATTTAAAATGTTCCTGTAATATCAGTTTGCAAGAACTTCACAAACCTGCTAACAAAATGCATCTTTTAAAAAAAGGTGAAAATGGCATCTTTAATATTGCAACAACTTAAAAAAGTACATCATCACTATTTCTATAGACCATCTTTGAAAAACAGCTAGGATACTTTGGATTCATATAATAAAATTTGATTTAGAAAATGGATTGTGACCATCTGCTAAAGCTGCCATTCTGGATAAATTAATGTTCTAGGTAAAACAAAAACAACAAAAAGCTCACGCTTCTCACCACATTCACCCAAAACTTTGATTTACTTGGATCTATATGTAATAACAGTGAATCTACATCATGTAAAGTCAAGTGTTGTAAAGTGGCTTTTAACACTGTTTGGGGGAAAAAGTTGTTCACATTGGTGGAGGGAAGCAGTCTGAACATAGGTTAATAGTAATACTTCATGGAGGATAAGGCCTAAACCATAATTTCTCAGTGCAAACCTCTACTCAATTGCATTAGACAGCTGAGTCATTAAAAACAAGACCACAGAAGATATATTCTAAAAAGACATTGGCTCTTTGATGGCTGAAAATGAACTGCTAGAAGTATTTGGGGGTATGTCTGTTGTGATAAGAGTAGTTAATAATCTTTTATAAAAGTTTGGATATAGGTTGGTCTATCAGCTGTATAAAACTACATTTTTTAAAATAAGAATTTTGCACTAAAAATAAAATGGCACTCTTGCAAGGTGATGCAAATCAGTTCAGTTCAGTCACTCAAGTCGTGCCCGACTCTTTGTGAATGGATGATCCTATTTGTAATCACACAGAGCAATGGTTACTGAATAGCTTATTTTCACTTTGGAAAAGGACTATCAAATATGAAAAGCTGGATTGTAATTGGAAATCTAATTATCTGGTGATCTATTATCACCAGATAAGTTTATCACTGTTTCCTCATAAAATCAGTATCATTGCCTGCCAACTCTTTGTGTGTGCCAATATCTAAGTATCACTTGACCTTTTCCCCTGTTTATTTAATGCAAAAATGGGAAATTTTATAAAGCATATAAAAATAACTGAATGGGATTCTGGTCAGCATGATACATTTAAGCACTTGAAGTCAACATTAAACTTCTGTTTTGCTTCAAAAATAATTTTGAAAATTATAACAAATGCAAAACAAACTATGTGATCTAAGTATCATGCTTAATTTCAGTTCTCAAACTATTTGTCCTTAAGTAAAAACTTGAAAAAACAAATGTTCACAATCCTTTATGAATGCTTTTTACCACCTGGATAAGAAACATGACTCAGTTACTACACAAACACTTAAAAATTCATTAGAAAAACCTTAGCAAAATAAAATGAAAGCTGACAGACTCAGAATATCAATTCCTCTCATAAAAGTTTACCAACTGTACAAGTTAAGAAAATTATACAAGCTTTTGTGTTAAGAAAGGACAGCTCAGTCAAGACATATGTACTGTAAAAATCTTTCAAAGGCTACAAAGAATCTGGAAAAATACAGAATGTATTTCTTAAGCCCAGATAAGAATATGGAAAGACATCATTGATGTCAACAATTTTACATACACAAACCTGACTTGGTTTATTTTTAAACTTCTATATATAAAAAAATCATGCTAGCATAACTTTCAGGATTCATAGGGTTTCCTTAATAATGATACTCAATTTGTATGGAGAGAAAAATGTCTGTTATAAAAGACATTTTAAGAAACTCTGAAAAATTGGTGTTAATCAGAAATTTGAACTTGTTTTTTTCTTCTCTGCCATCAAACTAAGCAAAAAGTACCTTGTAGTGAAATTTTAGGGTTAATACATCAAATGAGAAGGTACAGATGTATCTGTAGTTCATTCAAACTTACTAAACTATGTTATTTCCTTAAAAGGGCCTTTACAATTTTAAAGCAAAAAATCTGCAAAAGGCAGAATTATGAAATCTTATTTACTAAAGTTAGGACTCAATTCAAATTTTAACCAACTGCTTCAAGGAAATCAACTTTTTAAGGTAACCCATCAACCCTGAAAATTTTAGTCACACCAGAATTTACTCCAAAGAAAGTAAAGTTTAGTCATCTGTGTTCTCAAGTTCTTCAAATTTTCCATGTGAGATTGTGTCTTGGAAAAACTCAGAACCACCTGGACTTTCTTTTCCATTGCTGTTTACCCTTCGCCTTTTGGCAGGTCTCTCACTTTTTTCATCAAAATCATTTTCATTTCTTGCAGTCATATGGGCGACTTTTGGGTCAGTGGTTAGGTTATCTGTTTCATAACCATTGGTATCCATATCTGTGTGAAGTGGTTTCTTACTTCCACCTGTTGGTCCATTAACATGTAATCCTTCAACTTTCACTTCTTCTTTGTTTAATGTTTCACCTGGTCCATTAGATGACACCCCTTGGTTGGAAGAGACATGAAAGAAACTGCTAATATTATAAAGCTAAATTCATAAATTATTATAAAAGTGCTATAAACAGCTATAAAGTAACTTTTTTTTTAAAATTTTATTTATTCATTTATTTTTTTTATCACAACCATAGTGTATCTTTTTTTTTTTTTTTTTTTTACATGTATTCCCCATCCCGGTCCCCCCTCCCACCTCCCTCTCCACCCAATCCCTCTGGGTCTTCCCAGTGCACCAGGCCCGAGCACTTGTCTCATGCACCCAACCTGGGCTGGTGAACTGTTTCACCCTAGATAATATACGTGTTTCAATGCTGTTCTCTTGAAACATCCCACCCTCGCCTTCTCCCAGAGTCCACAAATTAAAGTAACTTTTTATCAAGGAAGTGAGGTATCAAATATGTGTATGTGTATGTGTATATATATAGTTTGAACTCTGGCTCTATTTACTTTAGTAGCTGTGTGACCTTAGGCAAACTATTTATACTCTCTTGTACCTCAGTCTGATCACACATATACATGACGATAACAACAAATTTATAGGGTTGCTGTGAAGATTAAGCTAATGAATGTAAACAATTAAGACCAGGATTTGGTATGTATTAATAGCATGCTGGTATTACATGGCAACAAATAAGCAATGGCTCTACCAGCAGTCTAAATAAGCTGAGTTAAAGCAAAGATATTCATAAATTATTCAGGTTTAGCAGTTTGTAACTTTCTAAAACAATGAAAAAATTATATTCTTTCTATAGAAGCTTGAGTTTTCTAATTGCCTTACAAAAGCAAGATGACATGACTTTTTCATTCTTAACATTAATCTGTCATAATGTTAAATTAATGCCTGCACTATACAAGCATACACTTGAAAATGCTAAAGGCAAACACAAATTCCTTCCTAATAGATTGAGAAAAGAAATTGCATAATTAATAACGTAACAAAAGGTCATGTTACAGTTGACTGCAAAATGGAAGACAAATTTTGTGAATGCTTAATGTAAAATACAGAATGTGCTACTGGAGAAAATGAAAATTTAATTATCTGAAAAATATTCACTATAAAGAATGAGCCTCAAATACACAGTTTGGTCAAAGAAAGTATTCTATTTTCTCAACTCAGAAATGCACTCAAACCATAACTGCTTATGGGATTACGCACCATATGATATAAAAGGAGTGATTTTTCCATAGTAAGCACAAGAAGCTAGGTTAAACGATCATTAGGTCAAAAATCACTATTAGATTTCAAGACACTAATTAAAGCCCCTTATGAAAAAAGACAATTGGGTTGGAAAGGTCTTCCTTTCCTTAAAAAGACTGGAAATCTTAATTGTATTGCATGTGAATCGCTTCTGGGCGGAGTAATGTGTTAAGTAATTCATGAACACTCCTCCTAACTGCATGTTATCATCAAATGGTTAAAAAGATTCAACCAACTGCATTCAAAACACTTAAAAAAAAAAAATTCCATAAAGTTTCAAAAGGCAAAAACTTGAATTTACTTTGTGCTGGCAAATACTTAAATAGTGTTTACATTTTATTTAGGTATTACATATACTCTAGAGATTATTCCTTAAGTATTTTGACAGGCACTTGGTTGAATCTGCAGACGTGGAACCTGCAGATACAGAGGGTTGACTGTACTATCAACCGTCTGCCTACCTGAGTTTCCACCCTAGTCCCAAGGTCAATCTCAGCTACTTATTCAACTTTAGGATGGTTGTGACTGGCATTAGAAATCATGTCAGTGAACCTGAATGTTCTTGAATCAGGAAATGGCTGCTGAGCCCTAATATTTGTTTGGCTTGTTCTTAGAGGGGAAGTAATGAGGGAATGGAAAGGGATCATTAAATGAAAAAGTATATTCACCACAGTATATTAAATGCCAGTGTGAGAGCAAAGATCAGAAGAAAGGTCAAAGTGTTCAATGTTCCTCTTCTAGTTTTTGAGGGGGGGAAGGGATTAGCTCTCCACTGGCCCTCCCCTAAAACTGTTACATCAGAATGCAGGTGGCAGAGCTTATCTCTATAATTTACCAGTTTCCTATTAAAGAGGATCAGAGAAGATTTATTACTTTATGCTTAGAGATGGTCTTCCTTAAGACTATTTTAATTAAAGTAGAAATCAAGAAAATTCTCTGACCAGGCCTTACTGATCCTCAGTCCACTGTATATTTTAAACCAGAACCTATCTTAAACTGAAATATGTGTTTCTTTTTCATGGGTGTAAAAGTGAATGTCTCTGTATAATATTAATGCACAGGCTGACACATCTGTTTTATCTTTTCTTACCTTTCTAGGTTATTATGCTATCAAGGAGAAAAAATATTTAAAAGGTGCCCTTGTTATCGGCTTTTTTCCATTTATATGCTTAAAGTGGTTTCCTGCTAGACTGTTATAAGTACTTCTGATGTGAAATGGCTGGAGTTCTGGTCTAAGACTTAATAAATAAGAATACTTACATCTAGACATTCCAACCTGCTAAGAAAATAGATGCTATTTTCTTAAAAGAAATGGTCATTGTTGATGTACTTATATTAAATGTACTTTTTAGTGATATCAATGGGAATTCTTTCCAATTAACTTGTACATATTCTCTGTATTAGTATACATGCACCCTGATACTATGTTTCATCTGGAATTTATGACTTTAGGTCTGCTTTGGGGGTTGAACAGACACGGAAACAGAATTTCCCAGGCTATTGAAGGAAAAGTGCCCATCATTATGAAGAAATAGAAGTGTTTCTCTGCTTGCTTACCGTTCTGATTACTATTGCTTATAGTGCCATCTTCCTTCTCAGACTGGCTGTTGCTACTGTTTGAGGCAGTTGGGGGAGGAGATGGTGCTCGACTGGAAGCAGCACTTTCACTTTCGTCTAGAAGACGATCCATGTAATCCCTTAAAATTGAGGGAAACAATAATTATTTTCTTATATTAAAAATAGCTGAAAATTAAAACTGACTGAGGTTAAATTTACAAGGCTTTATAAACAAGTATACCCTAATTTTCTCTTACATTAATCCCAGTGGGAACATTTAAATCAAAAGCTCCTTTTGGTTAAATGTCTGTAGGAAAACGTGTGAGGGCTTTACACTAGGAAATGTTACGGACCAACAGGCAGTTTTAAAACTTTAGAAACTGTAGGCAAGTGATCAGAGTGGCCCAACTAAAATCAGAAAGGCTGTTAAGTGAAGAGGGATGATGTCAATCACAAGGAGTACAAAAGAATTTCTGAACACAGACTGAACTGTAAAGCTTACAAAGATTATTTTATGAATATGGCAATATCTGAAAGACAAACTAGGACCTAATAATGAAATGCCTCCCTGAAACTTCCTGTTACTTTCTGTATCACCCTTCCGTTAGAGCTGAGCTATAATAAGCTCGCAAAGTTCCTGGGCTTATCTACTAGCTTCGTCTGCCCGCGTATCATCAGAGGTTGAGTGTACGTCTTCCCTAAGTCATTTTTGAGCTCAATGGCGTGGGATGACATTTGTGGTAAGTGACATTGGGTTGAGGTTAGATCTGAACTAAATACCTATCTCTCTCAGGTTTAGTGTCTTTAGTTATAAAATCCATGTAATCATACATGACCTATGTACTGGGCTGTCGTATAGATATGAGTAGCAAAGTGTTTTATGAACTATGAAGTGCTACTGAGTCACTAGAATAAAGGTCAGCAAACTAAGGCCTGTGGGCTGGCGATCTATTTCTGTGGATAATATGTTACTGAACACAGTCATATCCATTCATTTACATAGTGTCTATGACAACTCTTACACACCAACAGCAGACCTAAGTAGTTTCAAGAGAACTTAACATATGCAAAGCCTAAAATATTTAACTCTCTAGCTCTTTACAGGAAAAGTCTGATGTCACCTGTAATGAATAATCCCGTGAAGGCAGGGAGTTCAGTCTGCTTTCTTTACCTCTGCACCATTGGTGCCTAAGTTTGCAGTGTAGAGAAGTACAATAAAAGCCTTAATACATTATTTATTTTTAAATTCCCTCAGAACAATAATAATAAAAATATTAAGACATATCTTTCAGAATTTTGTGAGCAGGGTAAGTAGGAATGTGCACAAGAAAGAAACCATGGATGGGCTTGGAACTTTACTGAAAGTCTGTGGTTAACAGTCTGCAACTAACTAACATTTTAGGATTTATTTTCCTCATCTATAAATGGAGGGAATTAAATTTGATGGTCTTTTAAGATCTCTTTGGCTTTATGTCATTCATCATTATAGAACAATTAGGTTAACAAATCTGAAGCACACAGAAACAGAATGAACATGATGAATGCAATGCGAAAGGGACTTCAGAAGTGAAAACTAACAGAAACAGATAATGCACTAGGAAGAATTGCTGGAAATAGATCTGGTATAGTGGGAATGGGTAACGGAAGATGTTAAAAGCCACTCAAAGGAAACTAGAACTGACGAGATACCAAAATTATTTTAAATCTCTGAATGTAACAATGATATCGTTAAAGACTTATTACTACTCTTTCTTAAAGGTTAATGCCATCCAGAATGCTTAAGGAAAGAGGAGGTAAGTAGACCACCCAGGGGGTTGGAGAAGCATTCAAATAGTTAGAATTATGCCAAGTTATTTTTTACTAAAAAAAAAAAAAAAATTATAATTATCTGCAAGGCTGTTACAGCAAAATCTTCAGTTTGCATATGGCTACCAATTCTTTTAGGTAGTGAATGGAGAGACTGCAGTAGGATTTATCAAAGGTCATGTATAGGCAGCAAAGTGGCAAATGTGCTTCATTTTGGTGAACAAATGAAAGGTAACTATGTAACAGAAAAATAAGCAAATAACTTTCAGGATAATCTGTTCTTAACTATACATTCTGACTAAAGAGGAAGATTGAAAAATTCAGTCAAATTTTTGTCTAAAGGCATTAACTTAATGTTTTTGTCTAAAGGCATTTAAATTTTGTGTGGTCACTTAAAGTGCAACTATTAATGGAAAGAGAAGGTCTTGGAAGCAAACTACAAAAATATTTCTATGCTAGAGAAAACCACAATTTCTCCCTATCTGCAATATACAGTCTAGTCATGGCTTCTCATAGGAGACTTAACACAGCTAAAAAGGATGAGGAGGAGTCAAAAAAAAAAAAAAAGTTTTCAGTTAAGAAAAGAAAAAAAAAAAACTTTATAAAAAGACCCAGAGGGAATATAGCTGAAGACTACAAAACATTTCTTCACTTCATACTGTAACACCAGGGGACATACTGTTAACTCTTAAAGCCTGAGAAAAGAGAAGATATGTGATTACTTTTAACTATGACTACCGATATGCACAGTATATCATGAGAAAAGATGTACTTTTCTTGGGCTGGAAGAAGCCCAAGCTGGAATCAAGATTGCCGGGAGGAAAAAAAAAAAAGATTGCCGAGAGAAATATCAATAACCTCACATACGCAGATGACACCACCCTTATGGCAGAAAGTGAAGAGGAATTAAAAAGCCTCTTGATGAAAGTAAAGGAGCAGAGTGAAAAAGTTGGCTTAAAGCTCAACGTTCAGAAAACTAAGATCATGGCATTTGGTCCCATCACTTCATAGGAAATACATGGGGAAACAGTGGAAGCAGTGTCAGACTTTATTTTTTGGGCTCCAAAATCACTGCAGATGGTGATTGCAGCCATGAAATTAAAAGCCACTAACTCCTTGGAAGGAAAGATATGACCAACCTAGATAGCATATTAAAAAGCAGAAACATTACTTTGCCGACAAAGGTCTGTCTAGTCAAGGTTATGTGGTCATGTATGGATGTGAGAGCTGGACTATGAAGAAAGCTTAGCACCAAAGAATTGATGCTTTTGAACTGTGGTGTTGGAGAAGACTCTTGAGAGTCCCTTGGCCTGTAAGGAGATCCAACCAGTCCATCCTAAAGGAGATCAGTCCTGGGTGTTCATGGAAGGACTGATGCTGAAGCTAATACTACAATACTTTGGCCACCTCATGTGAAGAGTTGACTCATTGGAAAAGACCCTGATGCTGGGAGGGATTGGGGACAGGAGGAGAAGGGGACAACAGAGGATGAGATGGCTGGATGGCATCACCGACTCGATGGACATGAGTTTGAGTAAACTCCGGGAGCTGGTGATGGACAGGGAGGCCTGGCATGCTGTGATTCATGGGGTCACAAAGAGTCAGACATGGCTGAGCGATTGAACTGAACTGAACTCCATCTACAGAATTCTTAAACCTTAAGAAGAATCAAGGTGACAGATATAAGTAGCTTCAAAAGGTTTTTCAGAAGCTATGGAGAGATTATTAGAAAAACTAAAATGTTTAGCAGCACATCCCTACCTAACCTGTTGAGCCTGACGTCACAGAGGACCAATTAAGCCAGCCCACAACACTTCCCTTGGTGATGCTTTCTGAAAGAGAAATCTGAATGACCCATGGGTCTGACCCAGCATGGCAATTCTTGTATTTTTATTGCTGATGACGACAGACTGCCTGCAGTTCGTGTGTAAACTTTCTGAAATGGGTGAAAAGATGAAAGATGTTACTATTGCTTTTCACTATAGCTTGAAAACTATTTTAAGATATACTCTGAAGACTGGATAGCCATATGTAGTTTTACATTATTATGTCTCAATGCTACCAATAAATAAAAATTTAACTATAAATTGATAATAATAAGCAATTATATAAAAACTGGAATACTGTTATATATAAATTTCTACTCATTATGGCCTTTTAACAAAAAGGAATGGGGCAGAGTCCAATGTCTCATGATTTCCAAGGACAATTATACCCATTTATTCCCTTTCAGATAAGTTTGCTTTGGATTTTAGAGTGTTTGAATACTCCAGACAGGGAAGTGACCAGAAGAAACACGTGTAATGAATATGACCAAGAAACAGTCTAGTAGAGTAGTTTGAAAAGCACAAGAGTATGCAAATAAGCATATCTTTCAAAGACAATTATTTGGCTAGGCTTAACAATTTTACTGGTGCAGGCTGACCAAATGAAGTCACAACTCTTCATTATTTTTATTCCATAAACATAATACAGGGAATAATAAAGGCAAGTATGGTAAAGTGAATTTCACTGTAAAGTTCATCAGTATTTTAGAGCAATACATGAAATAAAGGGTTCGATACTCTATTACTAAGTACTTAACAGTAACACATTACTAGTGAGATTGGGGATAATGTATCATTCAGTAGCTAGACTAAAAGAAACTAACAGAATTTGGTGCATGGGGACTGGATGACACATGAGGCATTTTGCTTAAAAAATGGATATAGTAACTATACTCCCTCTATCACTAGGAGTTAGCTAAAGTTGTATTATTTATTAAATATTATTTCTGTTAGAGGAAAAGGCTTCAGAATATTTAGGAAAAGGGAACTTATCATGTACATGCTCATTTCTCTATAAAATATTTTGTAACAAAAAAGAAAATGCAATTTGACCTGATTTATTACATTTCCATGTTTTTTCCTTTGACAGCATCTATATTCAGATCTTATTTTTGGTTCTCAAGATCTAAAATAGATTGGGCAATGAAAAATATTAATTTCCCCTCCTCTTTAAAGGACTATTAGGCACATGGCCCTATAAGTTTTAAAAAAGACAGTCTCTCCTATTCTTATTGCTCTCAGTGTTATTAAATCAAAACTGCATGTGCTTATACTGAGTGGAATAGAATTTAACAAAAACATGCTTTCACAGTTCTTCTGATCCATCTCCTCTCAGGAATACTACTGAAAACATATACTCTTAACATCTACTTTGATAAATTTGCTGTCTCAAATAATATGAACTGTAACTTACAATGTTTTATAAGACACTGAAAGTCTAAATACCCCATGAGGATGTCAATAAATGGATAAACTGAAATTAGTGTAAACTTTTATCCTTTTAAAGAAAGAAGAGTCTAAAAATCACAATTCTCTCAAGAAAAATTTAGAAAAGCTTGGCGAAAATGACTCAAAAGAAAAAATGAACTCACGTTACACCAGGATGAAGATTATACTTCTTTTTTCCAAATCGTGTTTGCTGAGCAAAGAAATCGTAACGTTCAGATTTTTTCCACATATAATAGAATGCTACACATTCACCAACTGATCTTGTTCGAACCTATAAGAAACAAATACTTCTTTTTAAGAATTATTTCTTCCTTAAAGGAGTTATTTCATGAAAAAATCTTAAGTTTGAAAATAAATTTAGCTGACCTTTAAGTAATAAATAATACCAGTTATAAAATATAATACAGTACCAGCTGTGTTAAAAATTACTCTTTCTAAGCTCCCACTCACAGAAATAATATATTGGCAACAGGTCTTCAGATACTAAGCATTATGCTTTTAAAGAGACTATCATCATATTCATTTACTATAAAAATAAATACTCCTTTATCAAAAATGTCTGGCAGTGGCATCTGAATTATGTTTTAAGAAATCTGCAATACTTTTACTCACAGAACACCTAGGAAGACTGAATTTAAATGCCCTTTTAAAGGATTCTCTTACTAATCCCAACAATGATCCAGACTCAGCTACTTACATTGTAGAAAGGCTAAAAATATTCCAGTGAGTTAAAAGCTATTATAAAAATGCTAATATTTATTTCAAATGGATATATCTTTCCTTTTCTCCTTTGCCTTTAGATTCTCTTCTTTTCTCAGCTATTTGTAAGGCTTTATTTTTTGGGCTCCAAAATCACTGCAGATGGTGACTGCAGCCATGAAATTAAAAGACGCTTGCTCCTTGGAAGAAAAGCTAGGACAAACCTAGATAGCATGTTAAAAAGCAGAGAAATTACTCTGCCAACAAAGGTCCATCTAGTCAAACCTATGGTTTTTCCAGTAGTCATGTAAGGATGTATAGTCCAACTATAAAGAAAGCTAAGTGCCAAAGAACTGATGCTTTTGAACTGTGGTGTTGAAGAAGACTCTTGAGAGTCCCCTGGGCTGCAAGGAGATCAAACCAGCAATCCTAAAGGAAATCAGTCCTGAAAACTCATTGGAAGGACTGATTCTGAAGCTGAAACTCCAATACTTTGGCCACGTGATGTGAAGAGCTGGCTCATTTGAAAAGACCCTGATGCTGGGAAAGATTGAAAGCGGGAGAAGGAGGGGACAAGAAGGAGGGGACAACAGAAGATGAGACGGTTGGATGGCATCACCAACTCGATGGACATGAGTTTGAGTAAGCTCTGGGAATTGGTGATGGACAGGGAGGCCTGGCGTCCTGCAGTCCACAGGGTTGCAAAGAGTCGGACATGACTGAGCGGCTGAACTGAGTATCTGTTTACAAAGTCACTCCAGTGGTTTACTGTGCTATACCTATTTGGGATCTGAATGGCTCGTCTTACACGATATTAAATATATGGGATTGGCAGATGATGTTGACAAAATTCCCTTTTTTGTTACTTTGCTTGTAGAGCTGGTAGGGTTGCTGCATAGAAAATACTGGGAGTTTAAAAGGGAAAGTGTATCTGAATGAGTGTTTTGAGATGCAAGATGATATGATTTAACTTATAAGTTTCTGATCCTGAAGTTGCGTATCTGCTGTGGGACTGACTGGACCTAAGGTCAACTTTATGACATCCTTATTTTGTTAGGTGGCACCTATTCTTCTTTCTGCCCCTCTGATTGCACTTCATGACTTTGGCCCATGTTGCTTTAAGACAAAACTATCAGTGTTTTAAAAACAAAAGTCCCAATCACCTTCTCAAGCTGTTTTTTTGCTTCCTTTTTAGAATCTTATTCTAGAAGACAACTGTCAGGTCAACTGTACTTTACTGAAAGCAAAAACTGAAAAGACATTTTGTGGCATGCAAAAGTATTATGAAAAATCCTCAATTAAGTAAGTCTGCATAATACAACCTATGATTAAGACCCAAATTTCAATTCCAGGTGTAAAAACAAAGAATATTTTCAATGGACTATTCCCCTCCTTCTTAAGAATTGTCCTCCCTATGGTTCACTGGGACAAACCTGTGAATTAGGTATAGGTCAGATGACTTTTTTTAACACTGAAGTATCACCGTCCCAAATATTCTCCATAAGTAAGAAATCAAGGTCTTATTTCAATATTATGTTAAGACTTTTTTTGGCTAATAGTTTTAAGTCACCTACTAAGTTCTTACTCCTTAAAAAGGATTTTGGGGCAGGGGAGGTTGTGGCTCCTTTGAGTTACATCAGCTTATCATCCCAGGGGTCCCCCTCCATAGCGTGCTTGGGTCAGTATTGTTTGAATTTAAGCAGGAATGCTAGAAAACTTTTTCAGAATCTTGCCCTTTCAACCATGAGTTCACTTGCTTTTCTTTAAATCAGAAACATATATAGCTAGTCATTGGCATAATACAGTTCTTTCACAGAGAAGTCACTATATTGGAGATTATCAGATGATTTGGTTACAACATTAACATGGTTTGGCTACATCTTTTTTTTAATCAATGCTAAGACTCAAAATTTCTGTCTTATTAGTTATGTCTGATGTCAAGTAACACAATTAACAAAATTATCAGCAATAAACTAAAGAACACCAAAACTGAGAAAAATCAACTCAGAATTTGTAAGCAACTATTTTATTTATGGCACATAAAATGGATACTGTTAAACGTGTTGAAACAAATCAAGTGAAAACCATCCATCACATCCAGAGATGTAAAAGAGGATGTGAGGACAGACTATAGAGCTTCAGACTCAAGCCCATAAAACCCAGATACTTGTAACATCACCCTAGGTAAGCCATCACACATCTGATATACCATCTTTGAGGACACATGTAAAGCCAAGTTCCTTGTCATTTATATTAGCTAAAAATGTGACATTTATAAGCCTAGACATTACTTAATGTGCCATATTTAAATTTTAGATTTTAATTTTGCCTGTCCTAATTTTCCTTAGGAACACAATTTTTTATTCTTTACAATTGTGTAGTTCTATTAAAAATCTTTCCTGATTTCAGTTTAAGAGAATTACGCCTAAATAAATTTGTAAGTAATTATGAAATTGGGGGGGATATAAGTTAACACTGTATAGTTGATATTCATATGGCATGATAAATTATGCTAAATTATAAAATTATATAATGCATAATAAAACTGACTTTTAGAGGTATTTTCCTGGAAAATCAAGTCTTAATTAAAAGCAAATTAAATATTAGGTGTCTGATTTTAGAACACTCAGGACTCAAGCAAACAAAAAAAAATTTTAATTGTAAATATTTTCATGGTAAAAATGCTTTAAAGTTTCCAAGTTTAAAGAAAAATCTGTTAACCAGTTTGTGGAAAATAGTTTTAAGTAATTACATGGTACTCACCCATCCCATCCAGAAGCTGACAAACATAGTTTTAAGCAGACAGTTCTTAAAAGTTTCCAATAAATACCACATAACTGGGAACAGTCACTGGCAAACATATGCCAGGAAGTCTAGGCATGCTTATCATAATTCCCTAAAGACTAGCATGTTAAATATTCACTACACAACTTTTAACATTAGAAAATATAGATTTCATATGACCAAGGTTAACTAAATTTATTTTTATAAAAAGAGACAACATATATCATTACTTACTTTATTAGCCTGAATCAAATGAAAGTCCTTTCCATAGGCCTTCAACCCTTGTTCAAAATTTCTGCACTCTTCCTCCGTCCAAACAGATAATTCCTCTGACAAAATTGGGGGGGGGGGTGGCAAAGAGGGGGAAGGAAACTGTTAAGCAATATTCTCCCAAATGCTGCACGTAACAAAACATCCTTATTTAATAAAATTTTGGATGATTTAGTCCCTAACTCTTCAACCTCAACTTAGGCCATTTCCTCCTTATTCTTTATGATCCAACTAAACCAGTCACCTTACAATTCCTTAAACTCATTATTTTCTTTCTTTCTTTAGACTTTGTGTATGCTCTTCCCCTTGTCTAGAGGTTATTTCATGCCTCTTATCTCATCCCCCCTTTCACCTAGCTAATTCGTTTATAGCCCAGTAAAAATATCATTTTGTTCTAGAAGCTTTCTTTTACTGCCTCATTCTTTCCCCCAACTAGTTAAAGTCCCAATGCAGTTAAGTTTGAATTGCACCCTCGAATTCTCCTTGGAAGAACTCACAACTATTTTTCAGCTTTGCTACCTAGGCTCCAAACACCGAGAGTTCAGGGGCCTTATTTATAGTTAAAGCCTCACAATTTAGTAGGCCCTTCCATTTTTGTTGAATGAATGCTCTTTCACTGGTTATACAATGATATATAACAGTACACTTAGTGAAGTGGGGTGGGAGCCAGTTTAAGAGGGACAAAAGAATTCTAGCTATGGCTTCATTATTTATGAATCATGCTTCCCTCAGCAAAGAGACCTCAGTTCTCATAATTTTGTAACATCTGTCACTTCACTCAGTTCACAGGACCATTACCAAGATCAAGTAAGAAAATATTTATAAATGCCTTGAAACTGAAAGGCATTATGTATTTTTATTTAAATGGGCTTATTTTCTCATAAAGGAAAGGACAATATTAACCCCATTCCCCATAATGCCTTGTGTAATACTTACGTTATATACAAGTTATTTAACAAGTTATGACAAACTATTATCCAACAAATATTTACTAAATTCAGAAAGATTAGTATTAATAAATTAATAAATTTAGGATATACCTAGTAAAAAATTTTTAAACTTTTAAAATTTCAAAAAATTTAATAGCTTAAGTTTTAAACTTCTGCTATATCATGAAAACAAAGTTAATATTTATGCTTACCTCTAGCTGCTTTTACATTAAATCTTAATCTTCTCAATGCTTCTTCTGTATCAAAATTGCATTTAACTAATTCATATAATGCCTAGAAAAATAAAAGGCTTCAATATGTAACCTGGACTATGAACAATTCAAGGTGACAATTTCTTAACTGAGTAAAGGCTCTTCTAGAATCCAGTGTCTCCATCCTTTCTGGAGGACAAATAATTCCAGTGAGTGCAACATAAAAAACACTAAAGAAAAACAAATGTAATTCATTCCTGATAATTAACTGCCTCTAAATATGTAGAAAATACTGGATAAGCAAACCTCTAGCAGTGGCATGGTTTTCTAGGAATTTAGAAATAAAAGGAAATCATCTTATAATAATCACAAGTCCTTTTTTTTTTTAATGTTTCTATTCAAAGATAATTTTAAACAATCAGAAAAGAAAAGCATTGGTGAAAAAAGTAAAGTATATAATGCTGTTATTAGGTTCATGGTAGGCACTGTTCTACTAGGTAAAGAATTACATTATCCCAGATGAGTATTCCCAGCTTAATGATATCCACAGATTCTCTGGGATATGCAACGGAAGTTCAAAAAGCCTAATAAAAAAAATACATACAGGCAAAATATAAAAATCTCTACTGGGGCTAAAATACCAATGAGTGTTGTCAATACTACGTATATTATGCAGATTACAACCTCAGATTCCCTGCTGATGACATTATAGAGCTTCCTCTACTTACAAGGGGTCCCAAAAAACCCATCCTAAGTTGAAAATATGTCAAGCTGAAAATGCACTTTTATACACCTCACCTACTGAACATCGTCACTTCGCTGAGCCTACTTAAATGTGCTTAGAACACATACTTGGCTTACAGCTGGGCAAAATCATCCAACACAAAGCCTGTATTATAATAAAGTGTTGACTATCTCACCTAATTTACTGAATACTGTACTGAAAGCGAAAAAGAATGGTTGTATGGATTCAGAATAGTTGTATCAGTTGTTCGCCCTTGTGACTGCACTACTGACTGGGAGGTATGGCTTTCTGCCACTGCTCACCATCACAAAAGATGTTCAACTCTAGCCCAGGCAAAGATCAAAATTCAAAGCATTTCTACTGAATGCATATTGCTTTCATACCAATTAAAGAGTCAAAAAATTTTAGGCTGATCCTTTGTTAAGTCAGAGACCATCTGTATAGGAACACTGGTGGAGAGAAAAATACTGTGACAGCACTTACACATATATGTGGTTAATGTATTTGGGGAAAATTTTAAGTTATTTCTTATTCATGTACCTGTTCATTGTCTTTTATGTGAGATCCTTCAGGAATTGCTTCTACACCTTTCTCATCACCTGTTCTTCTAGATGCATCCTTAAGAAACACAATCACTTTGTCTTCTGGTAAGTATTCAGGGTCCCACAGGAGCTGATCATCATTTTCATATACTAAATTAGTAAAATATAATGTTAAAAATAATGCCAAAAATTCAGGCAAGTTTTTGTTAACACATATTGAACAAATAAACTCATACTCAGAGCCAAAATGCTGACAACTAAGAGGTAAAGCGTGGTCCAAATACCTGCTTGACTTTATTCTGAGGCAGTATTTCTAAGTGATTTAACCAATCTAAACAGACAGGTACCACTTGATGCCCGCCCCTTTTAGATCTGGTCTGACTTACCAAATTCCAAGGTCTCTTAGCTTTAACAGCACTGTGCTGTGCTGTGCTTAGTCACTCAGTTGTGTCCGATGCTTTGCGACCCCATGGACTGTAGCCCACCAGGCTCCTCTGTTCATCGGGATTCTCCAGGCAAGAGTACTGGAGTGGGTTGCCATGGGCTTCTCCAGATCTTCCCAACCCAAGGATTGAACCCAGGTCTCCTGCTTGCAGGTGGATTCTTTACTGATTAAGCCACCAGGGAAGCACCTGAATAGCACTACCAACACTTAATTAGTAATATCTGTATGACCCTGGCAAGTTACCTTCCTTCTTTCTGCCTCATTTGTGAAACAGGGAAAACAACCCTATTAAACAAGATTTTAGGGATTTAAAACAATTGTGACACATTAAATAATGTTAAACTACAATTATGATTTCTGAATAGGGATGTCTAAAACAATGCTCACCAGATGTCAACACTGCTTATTTCCTGGTGGTGGGATTTGGGACCATTTTTTCTTACATCTTTGCACTTTTCCATGATGCTTGAACACGTATTGTTTTAAGTGTAAATCATTTTCATAATAACAAAAGTCATTATTAAAAAAAAAAGCATTTAGGTTTCATGAGAATTTCCATTATAAAAAGACTTAAGGCCAAATTTCATCAAAATCTTTAAAGTGAGAGAGAGAAAAAAGAAAAAAAAATAAAGTGAGAGGAGTGGAAAAGAAACTAAGACAAGAGCCTTGTGGATTCTACATGACAGGAACACAAAAACATGAAATTAAGAAGGAACAGTCCCAAGACAGACAAAATATCAAAAGTATGGCAACACAGCAGCAGAGGGGAAAAAATGCTTCAGAATATAACAGACTTTTAAAATTCTGTGAAACAAGCAGGATGAAGAATTTTTTAAATTTATTTATTTTTTATTGAAAGATAACTGCTTTATACTTGCTCCTTGGAAGGAAAGTTAGGGGCAACCTAGACAGCATATTAAAAAGCAGAGACATTACTTTGCCAACAAAGGTCTGTCTAGTTAAGGCTATGGTTTTTCCAGTAGTCATGTATGGATGTGAGAGTTGGACTATAAAGAAAGCCGAGTGCCGAAGAACTGATGTTTTTGAACTGTGGTGTTGGAGAAGACTCTTGAGAGTCCCTTGGACTGCAAGGAGGTCCAACCAGTCCATCCTAAAGGGGATCAGTCCTGGGTGTTCATTGGAGGGATTGACGTTGAAGCTGAAACTAATACTTTGGCCACCTGATGTGGAGAGCTGACTCATGTGAGAAGACCTTGATGCTGGCAAAGATTGAGGGCAGAAGGAGGAGACAACAGACGATGAGACGGATGGATGGCATCACCGACTCAACGGACATGGGTTTGGGTGGACTCTGGGAGTTGGTGGTGGACAGGGAGGCCCGGCGTGCTGCAGTTTGTGGGGTCACAAACAGTCAGACACAACAGAGCGGCTGAACTGCTTTACAGAATTTTGTTTTCTCTCAAACCTCAACATGAATCAGCCATAGGTACACATATATCCCCTCCCTTTTGAACCTCCCTCCCATCTCCCATCCCATCTCACCCCTCTAGATTGATACAGAGCCCATTTGAGTATCCTCAGCCATATAGCAAATTCCTGTTGGATATCTATTTTACATATGGTAATGTAAGTTTCCATGTTATTGATTCCACACATCTCACCCTCTCCTCCCCTCTCCCCATGTCCGTAAGTCTATTCTCTATGTCTGTTTCTCCACTGCTGCCCTGTAAATAAATTCTTCAGTACCATTTTTCTACATTCCATATATATGCATTCAGTCAATTCAGTTCAGTCGCTCAGTCGTGTCCGACTCTTTGTGACCCCATGAATCGCAGCATGACAGGCCTCCCTATACATCATCAACTCCCAGAGTTTACCCAAACCCATGTCCATTGAGTCAGCGATGCCATTCAGCCATCTCATCCTCTGTCATCCCCTTCTCCTCCTGCCCCCAATCTTTCCCAGGATCAGGGTCTTTTCCAAGGAGTCAACTCTTCACATGAGGTGGCCAAAGTATTGGGAGTTTCAGCTTCAACATGAGTCCTTCCAGTGAACACCCAGGACTGATCTCCTTTAGGATGGACTGGTTGGATTTTCTTGCAGTCCAAGGGACTCTCAAGAGTCTTCTCCAACACCATAGTTCATAGCATCAATTCTCCGGTGCTCAGCTTTCTTCACCATCCAACTCTCACATTCATACATGACCACTGGAAAAATCATCTTGACTAGATGGACCTTTGTTGGCAAAGTAATGTCTCTGCTTTTAAATATGCTTTCCAGGTTGGTCATAACTTTCCTTCCAAGGAGCAAATGTCTTTTAATTTCATGGCTGCAATCACCATCTGCAGTGATTTTGGAGCCCCCAAAAATAAAGTCTGACACTGTTTCCCCATCTATTTGCCATGAAGTGATGGGACCAGATGCCATGATCTTAGTTTTCTGAATGCACTAGAATATGATATTTATCTTTCTCTTTCTGACTCACTTCACTCTGTATAATAGGTTCTGGGTTCATCCACCTTCAGAACTGACTCAAATGCATTTCTTTTTAGGGCTGAGTAATATTTCATCCTGTGCATGTACCACTACTTCTTTATCCATTCATCTGTTGATGGACATCTTGGTTGCTTCCATTTTCTACCTATTGTAAATAAACAGTGCTGCAATCAACAATGGGATACATGTGTCTTTTTCAATTTTGGTTTGTTCATGGTATATGCCTAGGAGTGGGATTGCTGAGTCATATTGTGGTTTTATTCCTAGTTTTTAAAGGAATCTCCATATTATCTTCCATAGTTGTTGTATCAATTTACATTCCCACCAACAGTGCAAGAACATTCCCTTTTCTTCACACCCTCTTCAGCATTTTTTGTAGACTTTTCAAAGATGGCCATTCTGACCAGTGTGAGGTGGTATCTCACTATAGTTTTGATTTGCATTTCTCTAATAGTGAGTGATGTGGAGCATCTTTTCATGTGTTAGCCATCTGTATGTCTTCTTTGGAGAAATGTCTGTTTAGGTCTCTTCCCCACTTTTTGATTGGGTTGTTTGTTTTTCTGGCACTGAGTTGTATGAACTGCTTGTCTATTTTGGAAATTAATTCTTTGTCAGTTGTTTCATTTGCTATTATTTTCTCCCATTCTGATGGCTGTCTTTTCACCTTGCTTATAGTTTCTTTTGCTGTGCAAAAGTTTTTAAGTTTAATCAGGTCCAACTTGTTTACTTTTATTTCTGTTATGCTAGGAGGTGGGTCATAGAGGATCTTGCTTTGACTTATGTCATCGACTGTTCTGTCTATGTTTTACTTTTAAAAGTTTTATAGTTTCTGGTCTTACATGTAGGTCTTTAATCCATTTTGAGTTTATGTGTATGGTGTTAGGAAGTGTCCAGTTTTCCCAGTACCATTTATTGAAGAAGCTGTCTTTGCTCCATTGTGTTTTTTTGCCGCCTGTCAAAAATAAGGTTCCCATAGGTGCATGGGTTTATTTCTGGGCTTTCTATCTTGTTCCACTGGTCTATTATTTTTGTTTTTGTGCCAGTGCCATACTGTCTTGATGACTGTAGCTTTGTAGTATAATCTGAAGTCAGGAAGGTTGATTCCTCCAGCACCATTCTTCTTTCTCAAGACTGCTTTGGCTATTCAGGATCTTAAAATGCCATTGGTAATTTGATAGGGATCACAATGAATCTGTAGACTGCATTTGGCAGTATAGTCATTTTCACAATATTGATTCTTCCTACCCAGGAACATGGGATTTCTCTCATTAGTTTATGTCGTCTTTGATGTCTCTCATTAGTATCTTATAATTTTCTGTGTACATTTCCTTTGTCTCCTTAGCTAAGTTTATTCCTAGATATTTAATCCTTTTTGTTCCAATGGTGAATGGGATTGATTTCTTAATTTCTTTCTGATTTTTCATTATTGGTATATAGAAATGCAAGGGATTTCTGTGTATTGATTTTGTATCCTGAAAACTTTGCTAAATTCACTGATTAGCTGTACTAATTTTCTGATACTATCTTTAGGGTTTTCTACATACAGTATCATATCATCTGCAAACAGTGAGAGCTTTACTTCTTTTCCAATCTGGATTCCTTTTCTTTCTTTTTCTTCTCTGATGCTGTAGCTAGGACTTCCAGAACTAGTGGTGAAAGTGGACACCCTTGTGTTCTTCCTGATCACAGGCCAAATGCTTTAAAGTCTTTACCACTCAGAAAAATGTTTGCTGTAGGCTTATCATATATGGCCTTTACTATGTTGAGGTAGGTTCTTTCTATGCCCATTTTTTGAAGAATTTTAATCATAAATGGGTGCTGAATTTTGTCAAATGCTTTTTCTCCATCTGTTGAGATGATCATATGGTTTTTATCTTTCAATTTGTTAATATGGTGTATCACACTGATTCATTTGTGCATACTGAAGAATCCTTGCATTCCCGGAATAACCCAACTTCATCATGGTGTATGAGCTTTTCAATGTGTTGTTGAATTCTGTTTGCTAAAATTTTGTTGAGGATTTTTGCATCTATGTTCATCAGTGATACTCTCCTGAAGTTTCCTTTTTTTGTGTTGTCTCTGTCTGGTTTTGGTATCAGGGTGATAGTGGCCTCATAGAATGAGTTTGGAAGCGTTCCTTCCTCTGCAATTTTTTGAAAGAGTATTAGAAAGAGAAGGGTTAGCTCTTCTCTAAATGTTTGATACAATTCTCCTGTGAAGCCATCTGGTTATTGGCTTTTGTTTTTTG